GGTTTCCTGTCATTCTTCTGCTCAGAGCAGTTCCCATGAGTGGGCATGCATAGCCGCACTAGAGTGACCACGGAGGGAAGCAGCATCACCTGTGTGACTTTACTTTTATTTAAGACACTGAAGAGAGCGCCGCAGATGTAGGTGGACATATATGCAGTGAGCGATGCATACGATCCACAGTTTGTGCCGGCTCTGCATCGAACGAAACTTGCCACAGGTTTGTTCCTCTGCTTTTTTTTGGACTTTGGTTGTAGTGTAATTGAAACTGGTATTTAAGAGTTATGTCGTGTTCGGTCTCGGATAGTCCTCATGAAATTCAGTGCATATAATGTATTTTTTTTTGTTTAGAGTGCTGTGTTGTAGCTTAATGTTTAAAGACCCAGGGTGATTGAAGGCTTGATCTCCGCAAACCTGGGCAGTGCACTTATCCCTAGGTTGCTCCAGATTGGCACTGTAAGTGGATTTGGATAAAAATGTCAGCTGAAGTACTAGTAAGATTTAAGACTTTTCCATTATATTATAAAGGTTGATCCTTGAGAATGATGAGGGAAAACAGATTTGAGTTGCTCTGAGTAATGGAAAGGCTTAAGCATCAGATGCATCTCCCGCTCCCCAGGGACGGACAACTTCATCAATGAGTTAGTCAATATATGGCAGAAATATTAGAAATAAAAGTGAGGGATGCCGGATGGCTAGTCACATGAGTGAGGTAAGCAGCTGCTTATATATCCTTGTGCTGTGATTATATATAAAATATAATAGGGTAACTTTTATGTTAAGGGGTGGAGGGTGTGATTTCGTTGGTGGTGCCCATCCAGGCTTGATTGTAATGATAGGAATAACACTAGTTACAAAATATTTAAGATATATAGTTTATTTCATTGAAACAAGAGAAAATGTCTGATAGTTTAGTTGGTGCATATCATTACAGTTGGTGTTTTAACCCTCTTCTTAGTCACCTCCGTCCTGTTTTATTTAGTATTACATTTAAATGAACCAAATGCAAGGAACATAAAATAATGTTACAAATGTGTTTGTAAATGCTGACATTTACATGGAAATTAAAATTCATTTTACTACGTTTTAACACAAAATCATATTATATATTACAAAATCTAATCATATAAATATCATGCGATTTGTTTGGAATAAATAATTAATGTATTTGTAAATTTACATGTATGTTTATCAATTTTAACAAAAATAACAATAGATTAGGATATTAAACACACTGTCATCATAAAACCATAAAAAGTATATAGAATAGAATAGAATAACCATATGGCAACCAAATAAATTGACAGATTTTTTAAAAGACTTAATGAATATGAAAATAGAAGCAAATCAAGTTGCATGGACAAAGAAACAGCGTTCCTTATTGAGAACCACAAAGGGTCCAATACATGGTAGCTAGAACATTGAGGATACTTAGTTGGCCAAAAGCAGGACATATTTACATTTTTGTGAATTTGGGACGACACCTCATGAAATCAGTTCACCGCTCCCCCTCTTCAACTTATGTTTCAAACTCCATTTAGTGATGGACAGAGCATTTCTGCTCATCATCTTAAACTGGATTATGGCATTATGTATAAGTATTGTCATAACAAGAGCTAGTCATCATTCAGTAATGCTAGTACTTTGACCATACTCATCACAAAGGTGAATGTTGATGTTTGAACTTGAACAACAAGCAGGAGCAGTGGAAAAGGGAAACAGTGCAGCTTGATGTGGATAATTATTTTATCACAGCAATTAATGGAGCTTGTAACAAGAGTGACCACATCGCCCCAGAAGAGAAAAGAGGAATGGCAGTGAAAGTCCTAAAGCTGTCATCACTTTTTCTCTTTTTATTCTCTCTCCCTCTCCAAACAAGCCTCTTTGTTGTTGTGCGGTCAATGTCATGTAAAATGTGAGACGCCCCCCTCCTCTTCAACATTTCCTATTTAGTTTGGCTCCAGGTTCTGTTGACATTTTGAACTTCTACCGTCCAAATATTCTGTCTCTGCTGTTTGTCAGTGCCATGGCAGTTTTCTCCCCCAATCATTTCCTTTTCTTGCCAGGGAAAAAGAAAAGCCCCCTGATCACCCAGCAACCCTGACTAATTTCTCAGCTTGTAGTTTTTAATATCCCTGACTCGTTGGTGCTGTGGCATTTCAGTCTTCATGCTGCTGGGGTACAGTGGTGCTCTGGGGGGGGATGTTTGTTTCTGGCACACACACACATACACACACACACTGACCCGGTTACTGTGGGGCCTTACACTGTACTGTGGATGGTCCATCTTCCTTAATGTTCCTGAGGTCACTTTCATTTCAGTCCATTCAAAAGTTATATTATTTGGAGTATTTTTTGAAGGAATTCTATATGTTAATAATGTTTATTGAATGTAATTGGATTTTATTAGGTGTGAATCCCAATTTTTTGCTACGATTTTTAAAATGTTTTTGAAAGGACTCAGTTATGCTCATAAAGGCTGTATTTATTTGATATAGTAAAAACAGAAATATTGTGAAATATATTTGGTGCTCAGTAAACATTTCTTGTTATTGTCAATTTGGAAAAAATTTGTCTACTTAATGCTTTTAAGGGAACATTTTTTTCATGATTAATGTAAGAATTCTTGGTAACACTCAAGGATCAGCTCTCACTATTAAGTAGTTGCTTATTAGCATGCATATTGGCTGTTTCTTAGTACTTATAAAGCAAATAATGCCTTATTCTGCATGACCTTATTTTAGATCCCTTAATCCAACCCTATAACTAAACTTTACAACTACCTTTCTAACTATTAATAAGCAGCAAATTAGGAGTTTATTGAGGCAAAAGTCTTTGTTAATAGTGAATTTGTGTTCCCTAATCTAAAGTGTTTCCAAACTCTTTTAACAGAATGTCTTTATTGTCACGTTTGATATATTTAATGCTTCCTTGCTTTATAAAACTATTGATTTCTTTAAAAAAAGAAAAATGTTGTAACCGAAAAGCCCCCTGATCACCCAGCAACCCTGACTAATTTCTCAGCTTGTAGTTTTTAATATCCCTGACTCGTAGGTGCTGTGGCATTTCAGTCTTCATGCTGCTGGGGTACAGTGGTGCTCTGGGGGGGGATGTTTGTTTCTGGCACACACACACATACACACACACACTGACCCGGTTACTGTGGGGCCTTACACTGTACTGTGGATGGTCCATCTTCCTTAATGTTCCTGAGGTCACTTTCATTTCAGTCCATTCAAAAGTTATATTATTTGGAGTATTTTTTGAAGGAATTCTATATGTTAATAATGTTTATTGAATGTAATTGGATTTTATTAGGTGTGAATCCCAATTTTTTGCTACGATTTTTAAAATGTTTTTGAAAGGACTCAGTTATGCTCATAAAGGCTGTATTTATTTGATATAGTAAAAACAGAAATATTGTGAAATATATTTGGTGCTCAGTAAACATTTCTTGTTATTGTCAATTTGGAAAAAAATTGTCTACTTAATGCTTTTAAGGGAACATTTTTTTCATGATTAATGTAAGAATTCTTGGTAACACTCAAGGATCAGCTCTCACTATTAAGTAGTTGCTTATTAGCATGCATACTGGCTGTTTCTTAGTACTTATAAAGCAAATAATGCCTTATTCTGCATGACCTTATTTTAGATCCCTTAATCCAACCCTATAACTAAACTTTACAACTACCTTTCTAACTATTAATAAGCAGCAAATTAGGAGTTTATTGAGGCAAAAGTCTTTGTTAATAGTGAATTTGTGTTCCCTAATCTAAAGTGTTTCCAAACTCTTTTAACAGAATGTCTTTATTGTCACGTTTGATATATTTAATGCTTCCTTGCTTTATAAAACTATTGATTTCTTTAAAAAAAGAAAAATGTTGTAACCCCAAACCTTTAAACGATAGTGTAAATGTATGTGCTTCTTCACAGGTGACCATTTTAAGAGGAAAAGATGGTTTTGGCTTCACCATCTGCTCTGACACCCCTGTACGGGTTCAGGCTGTTGAACCAGGTAATTTCACTCAAGAAATTTCATTTTTCATATTGTCCTCATAATTTGCCTCAAGTTATTATAAAATTGTACCTAGAGTAAAATTTTATCGCTCAGAAGTTGCTCGTTCATAGCACAGAAGACTATGTGTTTCTTAGTTATGTTTAATTTGAGTAACAACTTTGTCTCTAATGTTTATATGATGTTATAGTTTTAACATGGTACTCCAATGTACTCAAATACCATGGTATTGCCACACTCTTTAAGGGTGTATCTAAGGGTGTACTCCTCAAGCATGTACCTTAAGAGTGCATAATACTACTCTAAGCTACTAATATGCACCTTTTACGGGTAGATAAAGTACAAAGTTGTCCCTTTAAGGCTATTGGCAATGTTAAAAAAAAGAAAGAAAATGAAATCTTTGAGAAATTTAATGAGTTTTTTTTTTCTTCCGTTCATGATACAACTTTTGAATTGCAGACTTAGGTATTTTGGTAAATCTGTGCATAGTTAAAAATATTGTTAAAGCCTCAGGGACTTTAGTATAAGTATTTGAACACTTTATTTCACACATTTTACATGTACTATAGTAACATCAGTAAATTATGCATAATTACATGCAATAACCCTAAACTAATCCCTAATGCTAACCCTAGTTGGTAAATGCTATTAGTCAGTATTACTCTGTATTAAAATGTACATGACACCATAAAATAAAATGTAAACAAAAGAGATGTCATTTGCCTTTTTCTTTTTGATGGGGATCCTTTATTTAACTATGGTTTATGATCTCGAGTGTCTTTGTCTAATTTGTTTAGGTGGTCCAGCTCACCAGGCGGGTTTACAGCAGCTGGACACATTACTGCAGCTGAACGGCCAGCCGGTTGAGCACTGGAAGTGTGTGGACCTGGCTCATGCCATCAGGTGTGTATAGGGATGTTTTTGGTTATCATTTTATAGCTACAGGTTTCACAACACCTTTTTGGTTACACTTTAGTATGGGGACCAGTTCTCACTATTTATTAACTATTAACTATTTACTAGTTAGTAAGGTAGTTGTTAAGTTTAGGTATGGGGTCAGATTACGGGGTCTAAAATATGGTCATGCCGAATAAGCCATTAATCTATGCTTTATAATAATAAACTAGATTACACTTTATTTTAAGGAGTCTTTGTTACAAGTGTAATTATTCATTTAAAGGCACAATATGTAAGTTTTTTTATTAAAATATCCAAAAACCACTAGAACAGTGTTATATATTTTGCTGACTTGTGTACTTACATTATCCCAAATGTTTCGAAGAATGTTTAAATCCAGAGAAATAAGCAATTTTGGTCCCACTTTATATTAAGTGGCATTAACTACTATGTACTTACATAAAAAATAAGTACAATGTACTTATTGTGTTCATATTGTATTGCAAAACACTTTTGCTGCTATTGAGGTGGGATATGGGTAAGGTTAGGGACAGGTTTGGTGGTATGGGTAGGTTTAAGGGTGGGTTAAGGTGTAAGGGGTGTGTCAACAGTGTAATTATAAATGTAATTACAGAAATTAATTACAGATGTAATTACATGCAGAGATTTTTCAAATATAAGTACAATGTAAAAACATGTATGTACACAATAAGTGCATTGTACCAAACGATTAATTTAAATGTAAGTACATAGTAGTTAAGACCACTTAATATAAAGTGGGACTGCAATTTTAACTAGTGACATGGACCGTGTCCATAGTGTCATTGTGTCGCCTGCCAATAATGTGATAACCCCTCGATTTATGGTTTTGTTTTGTAGAAAACATGGAAACACCAAAGACGCTTTAATATGTTGTGCGTTTTAATAGACCGGTGATGATCGCACAGAGTAGCATTATAACAGAACTTTCAAATATATCTAGTATGATATAACAGCGCTGCTTTTTTTTCCCCACATACGCACGACCGGAAGGAACAGAAGCGCTAAAATGTGGCATAATAAAAGCTCCGCTGCTTTCGAGCCGTGTTTCGCGCTCGTTCAGCGGCCTCGTTTCACTTTGACGGCTTTCAGCCCCACCCTGCTTCATTCTACTACGTTAATAAATCATTAGCTCATCCATGAACATGATTTCTGGCCGAGTCCCTTCGGATTGCATCGGCTGTGGGATGAAGACGACAACTCCCATGATTCCACACTCAGTCACGGCATCATCAAACTACGCCTTTGTCTATTTGTTTATTTTGAATACGCGCCCTCTAGCGGCGAAAATGACATATTGTGCCTTTAAGTACTGAGTAATATTAATTAACTACATGTACTTAGGGTTAGGATTAGGGTTTGGCTTAGGGTTACTTGCATATAATTATGCATAATTAATTGTTATTATAATAGTAAGTACATGTAACATGTGTAACAAGGGTATCTTAAAATAAAGTGTTACCAAAAACTAATAAACAGCCAATATGCTAGTAATATGTATGCGTTCAGCGGCCTCGTTTCACTTCGACGGCTTTCAGCCCCACCCTGCTTCATTCTACTACGTTAATAAATCATTAGCTCATCCATGAACATGATTTCTGGCCGAGTCCCTTCGGATTGCATCGGCTGTGGGATGAAGACGACAACTCCCATGATTCCACACTCAGTCACGGCATCATCAAACTACGCCTTTGTCTATTTGTTTATTTTGAATACGCGCCCTCTAGCGGCGAAAATGACATATTGTGCCTTTAAGTACTGAGTAATATTAATTAACTACATGTACTTAGGGTTAGGATTAGGGTTTGGCTTAGGGTTACTTGCATATAATTATGCATAATTAATTGTTATTATAATAGTAAGTACATGTAACATGTGTAACAAGGGTATCTTAAAATAAAGTGTTACCAAAAACTAATAAACAGCCAATATGCTAGTAATATGTATGCTAAGAAGCAACTAGTTAATAGTGAGAACTGGTCCTTGAAATAATGTGGTACCACCTTTTCACCTCACATTTTAAATAGTAATAGTTCAATGAGATAACATGGGTCAAGTGAAATTAATAGTTCTTTTAAAATGCATTCATGCCTTATCATTCTTCTTCTTGCAGGAATTGTCGTAATGAGATCACAGTGGTGGTGTGGAGGACAGTGCCTATTATGAAGCCTTACTACGAGGGGCTTATCCACAGGCCTTCCTACAAACCCTCAGGATTTGATTCTGTCTCATCTGCAAAGACTCAAAACAAAACCCCACCTTTACTCTCTCGACCCACCAATCACAAACAGGGTCGTCGTAAAAAAGTAAGTAGCCCTGATAACACAGGAAACGGAGTAGGAGAGTCATTGTGGTCTTGGACTGGCAAACAAGAAGAAAATGACTACAAAACACGCACACAGACCCTCAAAGGTACCCGTGTGACATCATCAAACGGCGACAACTACATCATCCTCTCTCCTGTCAGTCCTGGAAACCAGGTGGGAATCTGAAAGCAATTGTATTCATGTTCAATTTGAGTGGGGTAATATGTTGCTTATCTGAATGTTTAATGTTGCAGATATTGCAGCCAGTGTATTCTGACTCCAATGGCACCCTGGGAACTCTTGGTAAGACAGCCTATGAGAACGTTTTATATTTCTGTTCCACATGTTTAGGCAAAGATCTGAGATTGACTAGTCTCAGATCAGTTTGTCAAAATGTCAAATTTTTGCATATGCTCTTTAGGAAAGAAGCATAAAAAATGTGCAAGAACAGTTATTGTGATCCCCAAGTGTTGTGATGAAATGACAGATGGCAGTATCATGAGGCTCATAACCATAGTGAATGATTAATGTGTTTATAGTTTTTTAAGAAATATATTATTTCTTTTTCAAAGATTGATTGATTTGTTTCATTTTTTAAAGAATGCATTAAATTGGTCAAACGTGACAGTAAATACATGTATAATGTTACAGTGAAATTCTGTTTTAAATAATGCTGTTGTTTTAAATTCCTATTCATCAAAAAAAAATCATGGTTTCCACAAAAATATTCCAATTATCGTTTTCAACATTTATAA